CTCCCTTATCATTCCCCCTACCCTCCCCACCCCTTTCCCCTACCCCCCCCCCCACCTCCTTTTGTCCTTCCCGAGATCTACGAAAAAAAAAAAAAAAACTAAGAGGGGCGACCAGGGCGGGGTCAAAGAGGGGGAAGACCCTGGCTGCGAGGTCTTTGTCTTGCGGGCGCACTTTGATTGGCCAATCCGGGAATTTGGGGAGGATTAGTGGATATCCAGGAAGTCGAGAGAGGGAAAGAGAGAGAGGATTGGGGGGGAGAGGGAGGGGGGAGGAGGGAGGGGAGGAGGGAGGAGGGGAGGAGAGTAGGGAGAGGGAGGGAGGGAGGAGGGAGGGGAGGGGGAGGGAGGGGAGGGAGAGGGGGGAGGAGGGGAGGAGTGGAGGAAGGGAGGGGCGAAGGGGGAAGAGAGTAGGGAGAGGGAGGGAGTGGAGGAATGGAGGGAGGGGAGGGAGAGTGAGGGAGGGCAGGGGAGGGGAGGGAGGAGGGAGGGAGGGAGAGAGAAAGTATGAGGGAGAGGGAGGGAGGGTGGGTGGTGCTTAATCTAGATTTATATACTCGGTGCTCATAATAAATGAAAGTATTATTTTTCTTAATTACAATTAGTACGTCACTAATATAATATAGTACTATATGACCTTTGATGTCTAGCATAATTATTTGTTTAAAACAAGCATAATAATATAAACAATAGTAATATTAACAATAAAAATAATAATAAATAACAATAATAATAACAATAATGATAACAGTAATAACAATAACAATAATGATAACAACAATATAGGTTTAGGTGCTAATAGAAAATGAAATAATGATAATAATGATAACAATAATAATAATAACAACAACAACAATAATAATAATGATAATGTCAATAATGAAAATCAACTGGATTCAAACAAAAATTTCCCTCAGTTTTCGAGTCGGATATACCATATAACAATGATATAATGAATCTAACGTGAGGTGGCAACAGTGATAATGAATTTTAATAAAGTAATGAAATTAAATTAAATCAAACTGAGTTCTTTAATCCCTCTTTTAAAATCCCTATTTTGCTTTTAAACCCGTATCTCAAAAATTATATAAGTAAAAAATCCTTATATCAGAATCACTATAAATCAAATCCTCTAGTAAAATCTCTCTATAAAATAATCAGAATCCCTGCCTTGGAATCCTTCTTACACACTAAAATCCCTCTGATCCAAAAATCCCTATTTCCAAAAAAATCCAATTCTCAAAAAAAAAACTACATTAAATTCCCATTAAAAAAAATATTCTCAAAAAATAAATAAATAAAAATAAATAAATAAATAAT